ATTAATGTCAGAATTTTCATTTTTGGGTGAACTAACCCTTTAAGGGCACTGAGCTTTAGCATTTTTAAGCCCTGGGACAGTCTTGTGCACGCACTTCCTGTTGCATGCATGTGCTCTCAAGTGGCCAAAACCGCAAGTGTGAGTATTTGGACAAGCCCTTAGAATGGCATGCTTCCATACTACACAGGTGACCTTTTACAACCAGAGCACACTACTAAGTTTTCCTACACAAAAAATACAATTGCTCACTTTAGTGATGAAAATTACACAAACCTGGGCAGTGAAAGTGGTGGGTTGCTCTGCCAGCTTTGTCCGTTGCGGTCGTCGGACCCGCTGCTGAGACGTTCGCTGGATGGTGCCCGTGTGGCATCCGTATCCCCTGTTATCGTCAGTGCAGACTCTGACAGGCTGGGCATCTCTACGTGTGCCAATGGCGCAAAGCTGAGCTCCACGATTTGCCAAGCGCTCTGGTAGATCTGACCCAGCACCTGTGGAGTCAGTGTGGGGAGGTCAAAGGTCAGGACAGTTTGAGTGCTAGAGGTCAGAGGGTCGAGACTGTCCAGACTGCTGTAGGAGGTGCCCTTGGCACGGTGTGACTCCATGATGTTCTCAAAATGCCGGCTGAACGTGTCCAAACTGTCTCCGGACCTTCTGCGAGGACCACGGACCAGGATGGGAGATTTTAGAGCTGGGTGGTTGTTACTGAAATTATCTTGAGGCCTAGAAAATGATAGGCTTGTTATTTCTGATATTCTGAACCATAATGAATAGTTTAACAGTTTCTTAAAAAGATAAATGTGTGTTTGCCACTTCCCACCTCTTTAGCATCATGCTGTAAAACTCCTCTTCCTCATCTCGCTGATCAGCCAACAGCCTCCTCACATCACCCTGCATCCTGACAGTGACCCAGCTCGCAACATCCTCCTCCTTCTCCTCCCCATTCTCCTGTCCATCTGTTCTTTCATTCGGCATCTCTCCTAGAGGGCTGCTCCCAGCACAGGATGTTCCCATGACACTTCGGTTACTTCCAAACGCTGAGTCAGCATCCTCTTGCTCTGCTAACAGCACCTCGTCTATGTCCGTCTCCCGGTAACATCGTAAAGGAACGGCATCCAGATCGGTCTCGGAGTATTTCAAAGTTCGCCGAATTATGCCCGTTTTGGGGGAGGTGCCTAGGGCGGCAGGGGGCGGAGTCACTAGCTCCACCTCCACGTGTTGGACATCATGATTAGCTCTGAGAGCAAGCTCCTCCAATGGCCGATATGAGGGTGGGATTGGGGTGGAGTGGCCACTTGGTGGAGCTGTGGAG